CACTCTATGTCGAACACTCTTATACTCTCCGTTCGAAACAATCTGCACACAAGATAGACAAAACTAATCAAATATCAGTGTTTATTAATCTTATTTTCGTCAAATTCGTTCAATATTTTTTTATTCAACTTTGCACAGTAGTACATCTTATTCTTGTATCAATTTCATCAAATTATCATCTTTTTTGCCATGTATCAAAATTCAAATGGAAAGAGTTGGGGAACCACCAAAATTAATAAATCCAAACTGCATTTTTTGCATTTTCCGTAATGGGGCCGTAGCATTTCCAGTGTATATGTATGTATTTACCTGAAGAAAATCTCCAATATTGACAATAAGTCCTCCTGGGACGGGCTTGACGTCTACCCATTCTTCCCCATGCCGCACCTGCAAGCCCTGTACCTCATTCTGAAGCACAATCGTGATAATCCCTGGATCCGTGTGCGCCTTGATCCCCAGCGTCAGATCCGGCTGAGGGCAGAATGGGTAAATGTGCCCCACCACCACCCTCGACCCGGCGAACGTCAGCTCCTCGAATTTCCCGGCCGCCAGACCCAACCCCTGCGACAGCAGCTCCATCACCTTGTCCCCCGCGCCCTTGACCGCAGTGTCCCATGCCAGCAACTCCTCCCGGCAGATCTCCGGTATCTCCATCGCCGGCGGCGCCTCCGGCGCCATCCACACCTGGATCGAGTCGTGCCAGCTGGCGGCCTCCGAGCGGTGGAGGTCGTTGTTGCTGGCGTACATGACCCCGCGCGTCTCCTCCCGCGAGTAGAATCGGGACTTCGCCTCCGCCGGAAGCTCGTGGAAGGCTCTGACGGCGGACACGGTGGCGTCGAGGGTTGAGAGTGGTATGCCGTGGTTGGTGATCTGGAAGAACCCCCACGTGCTCGCAGCGTCCCGGATCTGGCGGACGATTTCGGGGCGGTGGTCGGGCAGACCGGCGCCGGATAGGTCTATGACGGGGATTTGGGGGGAAGGAGCCGCCGCCGTGCGGCGGAGGCCGGAGAGTGATTCCGGCGGGTGGAGGAAGATCCTGGGAATGGTGGAGGCGCCGGAATCGGAGAGGCCTTTTACTCCGGCTTTGGATTGGTCGAACTCTTCCACCTCCTTCATCCGGTCGTAGCCTGCTGTGATTGCCATGTGAGGTATTTTTTTCTTTTTTCTTTTTTTTTCGGTTAAAAACTTCTTCTGAACTCGGTGAAATTGAAGTTTGGTAGAGATGGTTTTTTATAAGGGCATCCACATTAGTATTTTTTTTTTTTTCCATTCATGAAAAAGTTACACTCTCTCTCATCCACATCATATTTCTACTAAATCTCTCTCCATTTAAACACACACCCACATTCATACCCATTCATTTAAATACATATGTTGAACACATTATCCACTCATTCAATATAATTTTTTATATTCTATCCACAATAAAAATAAATTTTAATACTCTTAAATTATAAAAATAAATATTAAATACATTAAAATAAAAAAAAGTACAAGACCAAATTACACGAGAAAAAAATAGTACAATTACAAAAAAAATATTTTATTTAATTGTTGGCAAAATGAGTCCAAATATACAAAAAATGGGGATAAAAATAAATAAAATGTAAAAACAAAAAGAAAGAGTTAAATAAATATTTATTTTAAAACCAAAAAAAATAAAATAAAAAACGCATGCTGCACATGCCATTTAAAATAAGGATTTTAAAGTAAAAAAAAAAAAAATAAAGAAATTGAATGAATGCGTTTAAGAATGTTAACGCAGTGGTGGGTCCCCCTTTAAATGGATGACTCAAACATTTGGGGGGCGTTTAAACGCAAGCCAAAAATGACCAATGCGGGTACTCTAAGCGATGGAGGGGAAAGTGTGGTATCTTCAGTCGGAGTCAGTTGGGTGGAGAGATTTGATCTGCGGACGACTTTTGTGACTGGGAATTTTGAAAAATTGGCAAAAGCAATTTTTAGAATTGCCACTTTATAAATGAGTCTTTTGAATTGTCAATGCCTATTACTCAATTTACAAACGTTGGTTGGTAATTTATTTTTGAAGGTTCTATCTAGAAATGGCCAAGGGTCGCCCGGCTCGGTCAAACCCGTTTACCACGGGTTCGGGACCGGCCGGATTTCAAGCGTTCAGAGTCATCAATTTCATGACTCGGACAGCCAGTTCCTGGCCGTGCCGGGTCGATGACTCGCTTTTCTATTTTTTTTTCTTATTATTTTTTAAAAAAATGACGGACCTAGCTCGGACAATCGGGCCATTGACCCGGCACGAGTATAGGTTCGTGCTGGGTCCGGTTCAGTGTTTTGGAGCCCGGCGGCCCGCCGTGCCGGGCCGTGACCCGGCCCGGGTTTTGGATAGACTTTCTATCCAGTTTGAAGGATAAATTGGTAAATTCAAGTTTTATCCCAATTGTTGTCTTTGGTCAATAAATGTGTGGACACAAGATCATTTACAAAGAGTCTGATAACAAACAAAAATCTATTAATTTTATCAACACGTAATCTTATCTTATAGTGCCGCACTTGTAGCATTGAATTAGCCGTGTGATGGAAATGCGAATCACAACAGTTATTGAGTCGGTTTAGGACGTGTTGAAGTCTTATCAAATATTATGTTGTTTATGACACTGATGTGTATGACATGTAATATTATGTTGTTTATGACACTGATGTGACATGTGAAACTTAGGGGGTGATCCTTTATAAAATAATTCACTCACTCTTATTTCAACTCAAAATCTAACTCAACTTTAACTCAACCTCACTATCTTTAATATTATTCATATAATTAAATAATACAAACCAATCATTCTTATACATCACATCAACTTTAATTCACTATTCATCCACTCACATAATTTTAACTACCTATCATTTCCAATCATTTATCTCTTATTTTTACATCAAATCAATTTTAATTATTTTTTTCTAAATATTATTTTAATACATTCTTAAAATTTCACTACAACTAACCATACCACCTTTTTCAAAATTAACTATAATTAACTAAAATAACTCAATTTGAAAAAATTATTTTATAACCAATCAAGCCCTTATATTTGCATAAGATTTAAGAAATCTTATATTGTAATTAAAATTGTTGTACTATACTCAATGTTTTAGAAGTCACCCGCTAAGTCACCTGCTAGGCGCTCGACCAGTGCCTAGGCGGGGCCTAGTCGGCGCTTAGGCAGTGCCTAGAAATCAAGATTAAATACCTTATTTTTATTTATTTTCACCGACTTAGAAAATAAAACTATTTTAACTTATAATAAATCAACACCCCTAAGTCCAAATAATAATACTAGTATATTATAAAGAACACGATAACAAAATAATGTAATTAGTATTTAAAAAAAATAAAAAAAAAATAAAAAAAATAAAAAAAATTCCGCCGAGTCCGCCTAGGTCTACCTAGGCGCGCCTAGGCACCTACCGAGCACGCCAAGCCCGCATAGGAGTGCCTAGGCCCGTCTGACCGATTTTTTCAGCCGTTTTATGCAAATTGGAGGCGGCTGCCTAGGCCGCCTTTTAGAACAGAGACTATTGGGGCGATTGTTTATAGTTTCAACAGTAAAAAAATTAATAAAAACTCAAATTTAACTCAACTTTAACCCAACCCCACTATCTCTCATATTATCAATATAATTAAATAATATCAACCAATCATTTTTACACATCATATCAACTTCAATTCACTATTCATTCACTCACTTAATTTTAACTAACCCTCACTTCCAATTATTTTTCTCCTACTTTACATCAAATCAACTTTAATTATTTTATTTAAATATTATTTTAATACATCTATCAACAACTAACCATACTACTTTTTTCAAAGTTAACTATAGTTAAAAAGTAAATCAAATAAAACTAGTTGAATCCATAAACAATCACACCCTGTATTGTTGGTGTTGTTCTATTCAAGTGGATATGAAGGATAAAAGAGTTGTGATTTGAATTTCGTTGTGGCTGTTGTTCTAGTTTTAGGGTATGTTTTGCTATGGAGCAATCGAATTGCTCGGCTTATGGAGCCATCCATTGTTATTAGCAAATGATGTATTGACACATGTCTTGCAATAAATGCACATTAGACATGTGTCAGTACATAAAGTAATAGATTGCTCCATAAGGGAACCATCCGATGGCTCCATAGACTTTATGTATGTTTAGATTGGTTCTTTGTTTAAGACTACCTTGATTATTTTGATGTTGCATTTATTTGGTAGGAATTGAAATAAGTATAATATAAAAATTCCAATTTTACCCTTGCATCACTTTTCCCAATAATTGTTTTACATTTTAGTTGCTTTTAAATATAAAATATAATCACAATAAAATAAAACTTGTTTTGTATAAAGAAAATAAATCAAGTTTATGTAGCTGTAAATAATTTTTGTTTTAGATGTATAATTTTAAAAATATAATTAAAAAAATATATTTTTAGGCAAAATTAGTGTAAAATTACGAGTGTCATTTTGAAATAATTATCACTTTTTTAGTTAATCATTATAGTTGTGTATTCATTTACATGATTTCACAATATAAATGTAAATTATTTTAATTTTTTAATGTCCAAATTATAATATTTTGGGAAACGCTACAAGTACATAACAAATGTACATAGAGGTGTACATATCATTCATATGAAGTGGGATCCACTTGATTTTTATTTTTGATGGGTCCCACTCAATGTAAGTGTTATGTACACCTCTGAAGTGAAATAGATTTCACCCGGGCTCCTTCAACTCGAACGGCCTCCGCACCTCCAGAACCCAACGCCGGGGGTGACCCCAGCGTCGGGCCTCCGATGCTTAAGTCAGTGCTCAGATCAAGAGAGAGAAAGTGTAGTAATGAAATGATGAGAGAATAGTGAGAATGAGATACCTTGGCCCCCTTTTATAGGGGGAATGTACCTTTTAGGCCCAAGTTGGGCTTGGCCCATATCGTGACGCTTAGTCCATACGTGAGCTTATCTTCCAATATATATTCGTTTTTTCCATTAAATCGGGTGTAGTATAATATCATATATCATCTAGTCCCCCCACTCTGGTCGAGTAAGCATAACTCGATCCAAGAGTGAAATGCCTCTTCGGGCTGTTTCTTCAACTTGCCCCTAAGATTGAGCATCGAAAGTTGAATGACCATTGAATAACTACTGAAATATCCTCCAAATGAGCCTTGAGATTTCAAGATCGAAACCGAAAGACCACAGAGGTCGGAAACCGAATGATCTGACGTCGGGGTCGAAAACTGAAAGATTTGTCAATAAGGACAAGAACCTAATGGATTGCCAGTGAGGTCGAAAATCGAGAATCGGGACCGCTGAGGTCGAAAACCGAGAGCCGAGACCGTTGAGGTAAAAAACCGAGAGCCGAGACCGCTGAGGTCGAAAATCGAAAATCGAGACCGCTGAGGTCGAAAACCGAGAGTCGAGACCGCTGAGGTCGAAAACCGAGAATCGAGACCGCTGAGGTCGAAAATCGAGAGTCGAGACCGCTGAGGTCGAAAACCGAACACCCAGTAATCGAGAGACCGCTGAGGTCGAAAACCGAGAATCGAAAGACCGCTTAAGTCGAAAGCCGAGAATCGAGAGACCGTTTAGGTCGAAAATAGAGAACCGAATATCGAGAGACCGTCGAGGTCAAAAAACAAGAACTGAATGACCACTCCCTGAAGTCTTTGAAAATTTGAACTTATGTCTGTTGTGTTTCGATCATCTTGTTCGAGCTCTCTTAGACCACCCCTTCCTATCGCCCCTCAGTTCAAAATTTAAAATTCAATCCTGTTGTATATCCTCTCAAAACCCAAAGGACCTGATTTCGTGAACTGCTCTGAATGAACTCCCTCGACCTACCACCGAGGTCGAAAAATAAATTCGACAAGACCAAACCAAGCAAAAACCATCAACCTGCTCGTGCCG